TGGGATTTTGTAAGTTACATCTGCATTCGTATTGTAGACTTCCTTGGCAGACTACTAGCTACATCAAATTTAATGAAGAAATGGTATCTTAGAACACACAAAATACATTAAAACATTAATTCTTGAAATACCTTTAATGAAGCCTGTGCTCTCTCTTCTCCTTCCCTTAGAGATAAACTGAAATTACAGATGAAAATGCCTCCTGTTTTCAAAATACATTTTCAACCAGTATAACATTATATATAAAGGCTTATTCCTTTTACTACTTCATATTTTTAATATGTGTTTGTCTTCTGGTTTGTGTTTGGGATATTATTCATGAAATATCTGAATAATATCAATTTATGAATGATTTCTGTGTCAGTCTGAAGCTTCTCCACATATACAGGGGGGTTGTGCTAATGAAAGCACTCATTCTGATAGTTTTTTGCTTTTTCTCTTGAGTTTTAAAAGATCAGTTGGTTCAAATTATTGGGAGCCATTTAATTGCTGTTCTGACCAGCAGGTAGAAATTATACTCAAGTATTACTTGTATTTTTTTTTCTCTTGCAGAATATTCAGTCAACGAACTGGCAGACTATGAGATTTAAGCCACCACCTCCAAATTCAGATATTGGATGGAGAGTTGAGTTCAGACCAATGGAGGTGAGCAGTGAGCATGTTCATCAGAATCTCCATCTCAAAATCTCTGGGTTGAAAAGCTTTCAGTAGGCCTAAAAGCTCAAGTATTCATGATTTCCATTCATGTCTATCATTTGTTGCCTAAAACTAACTGTCTTGGGTTTTAATAATAGTGTGTAGTTCAGCTCCATCCAAAGCAGTGGTAGTTTTTGCCACAAATTGCAATGCAGTTGTTTCACCATCTGTCAAATTCATGTTCTGGTTTGTGGCTTGGCAAAAAGCATGTTGGGGCATCTTGAAATTCCAATGAGCAAGCACTCTCTTTATTGCGACCTCATTTTGTCGATATATTAATCTCAAAAATAATATTTTAAAAAGCAACAACAAATAACTTAGATCCAGATAAGTGTTTCTATGAGTCCAAGTATTTCTGCCCACAGAGCACAGCTTTCTTGCCTTTCCCCTGTTCCTGGGATTTCAGCCTGAAATGGCTGCTATGGAAGGGGAGACACTAGACAGTTTTCTGCATCCAAGCTAAAGCAGAGACCTGTTGTTCTGCTTTATTTCTGTAGAGGTGTACGTGCTTAGTGGGGGAGTAGTTGACTGTTATTTCTGGCGGGCAAATGCCGTGGGGTGATTGGGTCCTGATCTTTAGTGCCTTTGCTTGATCACAATATATCTACAATGCTCGTGCTTTCACCTTCAGTCCTAACAAAGCTTGTGTCCAGTATGATATCTATCAATGTCTCAATAAACTAAACTTTCTTCGAAGTGAATGGTGTTGAGAAACCAGGATTCTGACAGCTGCTCTGGAATATGTAGTAGGATTACTTCCAAGGAGGCTTTAAGGCTGGACAGCATTTCTCCTGGCAATGTATTTCTGCTTTCAGATTAATATTTAGGGGTACTCTCATGAATAGGATGTGAGCCTGAACAAATCTTATGTAATATGTTTTAGTATCAGGGATTTCCATAAAGCTTGTTGTTTAATCCAGTAATAATTATGTCCATCACCATTTTTTAGACTGTCTGGATCCTGTGTCTGTCATAAACTTGCCCTGGGTCTTTGTGAGTGTTTACATGCATGTTGCGTGTCCATGTGCACATAAAGCATGTTCCTCTTCTTTGTGCCACCGCCCCAAGTTAGAAATCTAGCCTCCCATGCTACCAGTGACTTGGGTGACTTGAGCTGCCTCTGAACCTGTGCAAAGGGCAGAGTTTCCCAACTACTTCATCCATTCCTCTGTTGGTGAGTTTCTGAGCATGAGCAAGTGCCTAAGGCACACGAAGGGGAATTGAATCACTGCTCTCCTAAAGAGACTATAGCTACAGATTAAGCTAGAGCACAAGACAGAAAATAATCTATTTTGCCTGTTGTTTACAGATCTAATGAAAAGAACAGGAAAATATAACACTAAGCTAAACGTAACAATACAGAAGTATACCTCCAACACCCTCCTGGATGTCTGTGGAACAAATGCACATCCTGAGCCCCACCTGCTCCATGCAGGGGAATCCAACTTCCAACATTTATTTATCTCGATTTATATCCCGCCTTGCCTGCACAGGCAGGCTCAAGGCAGCGTACAAGAAGTTAAAATACAATAAAACATAGGTGCAAAAATGCAATACTATAAAATTTTACATAAACAATGATATACATAAAAGTGCAGTTAAATGCAGATGGCAATTGCTGTAAAGTGATCCAATGTAGCTAGACCAGTATCTAAAGTTGTTCTTAATGCCAGTAACATGCGGGCCATAACAGATCAGTTTTTAATAGCTCATTCATCATTTGAACAAAGACTCATGGATATTACCAACTTTTTAACCCTTCCTGCCTCTTCTGATGGGAAGCCTCTTAACCAGTCCAGATTTAGCGAACTCACTCCCACGTGGGAAGGTGAATCCCAAACTAGCTACGAGGCACGTACCACACATCTCGACACCTAGATCATGACATCTCGATACCTAGATCATGATTTACAACAGCTATCCATCCTGCCCTCCCTGGCAGGTAGAGCAAACAGTTATCTCTCTGTGAGAACTCATCTTTGCTCTCTGACCTTTTGGTGCATTTTATGGCTCACTTCACTGGAACACAATCAGTTGTCAGAATCCCAGAAACTCCCTGGTGTGGTTCAAAGCACCTTGTATCTCCAGGGCATGACCATATCTACCATAAATTTACACAGAGAGAGCAGGTCCCTCCAGCTATGGTCTCCTTCAGTTACCTTGTGAGGTCGGCCCCATGTCTGTGAACCTAGGATTGAGCTCACAGACAGGCAATTATTTGCCTCAATAAATATTGATTTCATTGCCTTCTCTCTATAGCTTGGGAGGGTATTGGTGGGAAAAAGTCAGGAGTGTGCCCAGATGTCTGTGCTCATACATCATACAATTGTAATTATGTCTGTGGTTAATAAGACAACTTCAGTTCTTGGTTTGACAGACCTGAACTAGCCCTCATAAGTAGAGTGACCAGTGTTGAGACAATCACACTGACTGTAGTTGATTTAACTGTGATTTGGTGCTAATTCTGAACTGAACTTCTGTTGTTGTTCAGTCGCACAGTCGAGTCCAACTCTTTGTGACCCCATGGACCACATCACGCCAGGCCCTCCTGTCTTCCACCATCCTCTGGAGTTTGCTTAATTTCATGTTCGTTGCATTGATAACAGTGTCTAACCATCTCATCCTTTGCTGTCCCCTTCTTCTTTGACCTTCAAACTTTCCCAGCATCAGGGTCTTCTCCAGTGAGTGCTCCCTTCTCATTTTGTGGCCAAAGTATTTGAGCTTCAGCTTCAGTATCTGGCCTTCCAGGGAACAGTCAGGGTTGATTTCTTTTAGGATTGACTGATTTGATCTCCTTGCAGTCTAGGGGACTCTCAAGAGTCTTCTCCAGCACCATAATTCGAAAGCATCTATTCTTCGGCGCTTGGCCTTCGTTACGGTCCAACTCTCGCAGCCATACATTACTAGTGGGAATACCAATGCTTTGACCATACTGACTTTTGTTGGCAGGGTGATGTCTCTACTTTTTATTATGCAGTCTAGGTTTGCCATAGCTTTCCTCCCAAGGAGCAGGCATCTTTTAATTTCATGGCTGCAGTCACCATCTGCAGTGATCTTGGATCCCAGGAACATGAATTCTGTCACTGCTTCCATGACTTCCTCTTCTATTTGCCAAGGAGTGATGGGTCTGGATGCCATGTTCTTAGTTTTTTTGATGTTGAGCTTCAAGCCCACTTTTGCGCTCTCCTCTTTTACCCTGAGTAAGAGGCTCTTTAGGTCATCTTCACTATCGTCTGCAGATCTGAGGTTGTTGATGTTTTCCCCACAATGATGTTTTTTTACATAATTATGTATTCCCCATAATTTTCCCGTAATAAGGAAATGAATTAACCTTAAATGTGCTTTTAATCTCTTGTCTCGCCTCTCTCCAAGGCAACAAATCCTCTGCATTAGGCCCTGGGTCTGCAGTTCATTTTTCAGACTATGAAATTGCGATTCAGCTGCTTTGTGTGAGATTGGTTTATATTTGTCCCCCCCCTCCCCAAAATGTTTAGGTTCAGTTAACAGACTTTGAAAATTCTGCGTATGTTGTATTTGTGGTGCTGCTGACCAGAGTCATTCTTTCATACAAACTGGACTTCCTGATTCCTTTATCCAAGGTAAAAGTAATATTTTTTCCTCACCTATGTCTAATACCTTGTAATGTTGAGAAGTAGATAATAATGTTGCATTATCCTATTTGGCCGCTGCTTAAAACAGCAGCTCTATGTCAAGCTCCCTCCTGTTCCCATAATTCTGCCTGTGTGATGCCATAATTACCCTGTCCCATTAGCAGCAGTCATGTGACACGGAATGTGACAGGAATTGTATCATGTGATGACATATCACCGAGAAATGTAACTAAATGTGGGGAGAGTCAGTGAAAGTTTGCCACAATGGATGCCATTTTGGGCAAAAGTCTTTTCCAAGAGTAATGTGTAGCTTGTCTTTAGAGAAGACCTTCAGGCACACATTGCATGCAGTGTGCTAGATGCATCCTTTCCAAAGATGTCAAATCATGGCATGTTTATGCTGCATTTAAGATCAAATTACCTAATGTATAATATTTTTAAAGCTGCACATAAAATCAGTGTGAACTCTATTAGCTATATGCAGTGATTGCATTCAAGGTGTAAATTATTGTTAGAAGATGTGACCTTACAATAAAGGTATTTCTGATTTGCTGTCTTGAGAATTTTTTCATTTTTTGGATGAAGACTGTAAGAATGCCAAATAAGAAAACTATTCTTTGCATATTAGCAATGCTGCTAGTTTGTCCGTTATCAGGACTTTTGTGATATTTTTCCTTAAAGCTCCATCTCCTGGGGATCTGTCATAGGTGAGCATTTGAATTTTTTCTTTAAAAGAAAATTGCTTTGTCTTTATACTTAAGACCTGTCATGTTCAGTTGCACCCAAAGGAGTTGATGGCCAATACTATATTGTACTTGTTATAGTGAATCTGTTGGAATAAGCTGAGGTGATATAGTATCACAGAATATTTACTTGTTCAGGAAACTAAACTGTTTGATGTCTAGTTTGTGTGAGAGAAGGGAAAGTGGGAGATATTGAAGATAATCTGGGACCAAGGACCCAGAGGAAATGACCAGGTAGGTAGAGAATTAGGCGTGAGGAAAAGGAGGGAGGAGGCAGGCAATTGAGGCAAGAAGGGGGCTCTGAAGTAACTTAAAAGTGTAAAATTAGGAGGCCTATATGCTATAGGGAGCTACTGTATGAAGATGGCAGTGGCCTGAAAAGTCAGAACCTGAAGTTGTGTGGTGGAGACCTGGAACTGAAGTGTAGAGGAGCCAAGGAGAATGTAGGACTAAATCAAAACTTCACATTGCTAGTCAGTCAGTCAGTCAGTCAACCTTTATTGCATAGATAAAATACAGCATGGATCACATTTAAAAATGCATATCAAAATTATGTAAATATAAACAGTCAATCCACTGGGGCTTTGACCTTATATTCTTTTACCCTCATAGTGATAGAAAAATCGTGCTACTGAGAAAGTAATGTGAGGACAAAGATCTGATAAAAGGAAAAATATAAGTCTCTGTTCAGATAGACTATGCTTACTGTGCAGGAGGGGACTGACTAGAACATCCCGAATTCTATTATACAATTCACAGCTGAGCAAGATGTGAGCAATTGATTCTGGGTTCCTGCTGTTACATGGGCAGGTCCTTTCGAGGTAGGGGGTATTAGCAAATCTACTGTAAAGGAGATGCTTAGGGATGTGGACAGCATTTGAGGTGTTGTACATCTGGCCCTGTCATGTATACCCAGGTATGACAGACCCCGCCCGCTTCCGTCCATTTTTCTTTGTCCTTTCACTGACTGAGCAGCCCTGGTAATGTGTTTTCTTCTCCTTAAAGAACATTTGGCTGTCCCACCCTCTCAGTAAGATATATTTTGGCTATTTGCTCAGCCCAGGAACCTGAGGGAAGGGTTAGGATCGCCCTTTAACCTAAGTGGCAGAAAGTGGCACTTGAGACACTTTAAAATTCAAAAATTATAAAAGGTTTTATTTAACATCAAGGGGAAAGATCAGGTGAAATCAGGGGTAGAAATTACTGAGGTAAGATCAGTTTTTGCACAGACGTAAGTTCTTACATACTGGCTTACATAGAGTTTCTTAAGCCTTTTCACAGTTTCTTTATACTTCTTATTGAGCGGTTTTGTCCTAGTGTTTTCCCCAACACTCCAGCACGCTTTCTTTAGTATTTCTTATCTCTCAAACTCTTTTTGTTTCCCAGAAGGCTGGTACAGCCTTTTCCAGGACCCAAACGCCTTCTCTTGAAACACCTTTTTGACTTTTTAGGTCTCTACAGACAGTGTTTATTCACACCAGAGCAGGGATCTCTGTACTCTTCAGAGCTGTTTTCCCCATTCAACTGGTTAGGGAATCTTCTCTCCCTAGACGATCTTTCCTCAGCCTGCATGATACACTTCCCAAACCTCCAAGCCACTTCTCCCCAGTTCTGTTGTTTTGGTTAAACATCAAAGGCGAGAATCAGACCGTCTCAGTCAAAGCAGAATGCTGACTTTCTCCAGTTAAGGTACAAATCTGAAGTGAATCTCCTCCACAGCCATCTCTCTCAAGACTGTGTTTGTTTAGCTGATGCTGTCCAGTTAGATTCCTTGGAGCAACCTGTCACTCAAGGCTCTCCAGCTCTGTGAAGAATTAACCCTTCACAGTTCTTTAGTCTCTTTGTACAGCACTTTTAAGCCTCTTTAAAAGTGCAGTGCAGTCCCTCACACCAGGCTAGCCCGATCTTATCAGATCTGGGAAGCTAAGCAGAGTCAGCCCTGGTTAGTATTTGGATGAGAGACCACCAAGGAAGTCCAAGGGTTGCTACTCAGAGGCAGGCAATGGTAAATCACCTCTGAACGTCCCTTCCTTGAAAGCCCTACAGGGTTTCTGTAAGTGAATTGTGATTTGGGGGGAGGGGGGAGGACTTAGACAGCAGAATCTTGCTTATTTTGGCTTTGTGACTTGGGAATGAGAACCAAAAGGTTGTGATGGAAGAAAAGCTGAATTTTACATATCTGTTTAAAGTAACCATTCAGTTTTGTTGACCATGTTGTAGAGCTGTTCTACAGAGATATTTCTCTTGTTTTTATTTAAAAGAGAGATTGTGAGTTAGGCATTATTTTAAAAAGAACTTAAATTGGGGGGAAAATCTTAGTGTATAAGAGGTTCTTGGCTTTTTTTTAGTGTCTTCCCAGTCTCCCCCCCCCCCCCCCCCCCCCCCGGTTTGGATTACTTACTGTTTTGAGTTAGATGACAGTAGGGCATTCTGATTTCTTTGTTTCATTGTTCTTAATGTACTGACATGATGCTGCCATATGAGGTTTTGTAGCTGTCATGTGTCTGAAGAAGCACCTCACCCTTGATGCTGTCCTTAGGCCTTAAGGTGTTCGGAGGAAGCTCTGCTTCAAATACTGCTGTCCAAAATAAGGAAGGTGGCACGTTGCAGCGAACAATAGAGTTACCTTCATGGCATGCACTCTAAGAGGAGCTTCCTGCTTAGGGATCATTGTGTAATTTTTGTTTGTTTGTTTGTGAAGGCTTTTGCATAAACAGATAGCTATTAGTGTGGTTTTTATTTAATTTTTGCTGTTAAAACAGCTGCTTGCTGTATCTTGCCATTTGGCTTTTTAATGGTTTTAATCTTTTAACTAGGCACTGTGCCAGTTCATTAGTGGGTTGATCAGTGCAGTATACATGTTATAATGAACCAATAAAGTAGATGTGTATGGAAAATCAACTTTTGTTGATGATTTCCGGGCCATGCATTTCAGCACACAGAAGAACTGTGGGAACTTGTCTTTGTTTATAAGAGCCTTGTCTCGAGGGCAGATGACGTTATACATCAGGCAGAACATTTTAGTCTTTAAAAACAAGTCTTAAGAGCCAGCAGTATTGATGTGATATCACCTGAGTTATTAAAAATCATGAACCAGGCAAGAATACAGGTCACTTTTTCAACAGTTTGGCAAAGGATTGATTCAGGTATTTGTATCCAGATTCCTGAAAGTCCATGTGGATGGTAGCTGCTTAATGCCAGATTCCTTTAATCTTGAAAAGCATGTGCTCAGTGTTTCAGATACTTAGGAAGCCCAGTTCTTCCACCTTCATTTTTAGTTGAGATACATCTAGAACAATTCTGTGTGACCTTATGAACCTTTCCTTTTTTAAATACACACACTCCCCCTCCCCTCCCCAGTACATACACATATTTTATTTTTTGTGGATTTGTAATGTTACTGTTCTCTGTATTAGTGTATACTATGTTTATGTAGTTACAAGGAAGCCTGGGGGAAGGGGGCAGAATTTAGAGGGTAATTTCATCTAACACTTTTTCCTATCCAGTACTTCTTTTCAGCTGAAAATCCAAATGGACAAATAAATGAAGTGATGGAACGTATCTTTTCAAAATGTCTGGTTTTTTAAATATAATATATAATAAATATAAGTATAAGTATAATATAAATACCTTATTCTCCAGTCTCACTTCTTCCAATGCAATGTTTAAAAACATAATGCTTGGTTTCATATTGATAATTTATAACCTGCCTTGGACAGGACTCTAGAGAGGCAGTATAACAATTTCCAATAGGGGTGTACAAAAAAAATTCAGTAAAATTCGGATTTGGATATATTGAACTTGATTTTTTTTCCGGGAAATCTGAAAACCCCCAAATATCTATACCGGTATAGTATAGATATCCGAAAATGTTTGGGATTCCCGAAAAATTCGGGTCCATTATATCCAATGGGGCCATTGAAGTTAATGGCAAAAATCTCATGAAATGTTTGCAGGGGGCTGGGGGGGAGGGGGTTTGAGGTAGAGGCTCCAAATTTGGACTATTGCTGCTGGAGCCTCTCCCCAAAATACCCCCCATTTTTGGACAAGATTGGACCAGGGGGTCCAATTTCAGGGGCATCCAAAGAGTTCTCCATTGTTTCCTATGGGAAATTGGGGGTGGGAAAAAGGCAGGCAGAATCTGTCTGTAAGAAACTGAGGTGTGTGGTGGTGGTGAGGGGCATGTTTGCCAGGCCAGCAGCAAAACCTGGGCAGTGTGCCCCCCAGAACCAGCGCCACTGTGCC